TAGAACATTCTAAGAAAGAGAGTGGGCCTAAAATGGAGCTATACATAGGATAGGAACAGCCATGGAAATCTGCCAGGGGTAGGGCATGAGGTGGAGGGGAGCATGAGCCAGGAGCACTGAAGTTCTTTCTGTGACTTTGGTTCCTGTCACCACCATTGGATAGATATTACTTGCTCCACTATTTCCCATCTACCCAGGCATTTTCCTGGTCTCCTGTTTCTAAACACAGCCATGTGTGAACCACTGCACCATAAAAGCAGGATGGGACAGCCTGTAAAGAGCTAAGATATAGAAGCATACCCTTCCACCAAGTGCAGCTGTTGTGTATATCAGAGCTAAGTACAGATGGTGACATCCAGACCAGCGGATGGGTTGTGCAAACAGATAACAGAGATGTTATGTTTGAGGGGTAGGTGTGGTGTGTATATGTGATCAGACATAACATATACATTATGTCACTTAATGTTCTTGACAACCCTAAGAAGGTAAGTGGGTGTGGCCAGAAAGTGAATCCAAAAGAAGCAACTGGTGGAGATTCAGGTAATGGGCACCAAGAATAGACGAGGTAAATGGCTCAACAGGTAGCAGGGCCCCATCAGCCAGTGAGAAGGGCCCAGAAGATAGGACTACCAACTCTGGGGATGCTCCAACAAGAACAGACCAAGGCTCTCATCGTAAAGAGACAAATCTACCAAAACATATTATAGAGACTGGGCTTAGGCACAAGGGTGCATAAAATAGACATTAGTAGAGTTAAGATCTGATGTGGACAGTGAGATGTACTAGAGCTCCTGATCTATATGGTGACCATGTAAATTCAAATTACAAACCAAGAATGGGTTGTTCCAATAATCACACCAGGACAGCAGGATAAACCAGGAACGCCCTTGGAAAATGGGACATGTAATCACCCCCAATTATATATTATCTGGTCCTAGTGAATCCACAGGTAGAATTCAAGTAAACATGGCTGAGAAAAAAAAAAAGAATATAAAGGTTGAAAACTAAAGAAAACTTATTCACAACAGTTTTTCTTTTTATTCCTCTGGTTTTAATATTTGAAGAAATGGTGTAAAAAGATCATAGATGCTAGCATACACCTAATTTTTTCTCTCTTAAATCACAGCCAGAGGCTACCGTGAGTGTTCCAGCAACAGCAGTGAGACATAAAAACTCTTATGGAAAATTATTCTACAAGACTGAAGAGCAAAAGGGCAAATTTCCCTCAGCAGCAAGGTCAGCATCAAGATGGAGGCTAGTCCCAGTGACTTTTCAAACAACCTGTTAGTTTCAGCTTTAGAAATGGCCAAGCTGCAGGACTGCTACAAGATGTGGCCAAGATGTGGAGACAAAGCCAAAGGTCATGGCCTTTGGTCCATCAGAAGTTTTAGAGTCATAAAAAAGGAAATCAGTTATTTATCACCAGACAGATCATGACATCCCACAAAAGGATTCTAATTGTTAGTAGATCCACTTTCTAAGACAAAGATCTCTATAGGAAATGTTCCCTGCCCCCAAATGTTGTAATCAAAGAATAAATGGATCGCAGTTCCACATGCTGCCATCTTGTCTTTGGGTAGACAGTTTGATCTGGGCCTCTATTTTGTAAATGCTGTAATACTATCCTCAGAAGTTAAGCAGAGCTTTATCAGAGATCATTTAAAAATGACTTTTTGAGCAGTTTGACACTCCAGCATCAATGCTGCAGTATTGTTCCTGAGATGCTAGATATTAACTTTGAATACTAACCTGGCACTGTGAAGACATTTTCATTATTAAGACATCTGGGACAATTTCAATAGCAGTATGTTTGGAGGGAAGAAGGCATTGAGTGCAATACAATGAGGCCTTGTACCCTCTTTAGCATTTCAGCACACTTTAGGCTTGTGAAATCCCTCCACCCTCTCTCTGTACAAAGCTTCTCTTCAAAGTTTACACTGGCAGGGATTTGGAGGATTAAAAATCCAGTATCTAAGTACAGTGGGTCAGTCAGGCCTTAAGTTAATGAACCTCATGCTCTTAAGCAGAGTTTGACTGCCATGGTGGAACAAGAAATGTCAAAGTGAGGTTAAAGAAATTGCCCAGAAGGTCCTTTGGTCTACAAGCAATTTCAGTCCTCCTCACAAACTCATAGGTCTTTTCCTTTCCTTTCTTTTCTTTTCTTCTTTTTCTATTTTATTTATTTATTTATTTGTTTTGCTAACACTTTTCCCCATATACCACCTTATATGTTTAATGTATATTTTATTGTTATCCATGAGGTCAGGATTCTGTCTTTTTTATGCATTTCTGTATTCCCAGTGTCTGGTACATAACAGGTGTTCAATAATATTTGTTAAATGAATGAATGAATGAATGAATGATGGAAGACTCCCTCATCATATATATGAGTCATTCATTCTAGTTTGCCCTTCAAATGGAAAGTAACCTATTGGGAAAAGGAGTTCTCTAAAATCTTATTCTTCTACCCCTGTACCTGGAGTTTTGAGCAGGAGAGCAATTATTTTGAAAGAAAAGAATCTGAAGGAAAATGCAGAAGTTGTAGAGTGAAACTGAGGATAGGGCTAAGGAATAAAGAGAATAGGTGAATTCACACACATTTTGGAATTTAAAAAGAAAACAGCAATATCAACATCCAAAAATCAAACTATAAAAAATGTCATATTTCTTTAATTTGTGTAATTTAATCAGACCTGTGAGTTTTGCTCTGCATTTTCTCTTTACAATAATTCGTCAAACAAACAAACCAAAAAGGTTCACTGACAAGTAGAGTAGAAAGGCGGTAGAAAATGATGGATACTGTGGCCTGAATTAAAAGATAATCCCAAGAAATAAGGGAAACAAAAGGTTTTGGAAGAAAAGACAAAATAGCACACCGTGGCTAAAAGGAAGGCAAAAATGCCAGGCACTGAGAAGTAGCAACTTCCCAAAACAGGCCAGCTCAGAGACACCACTCTCATTGAGACTCTCCAGGACATGAGGGGAACAAAGGAACATCCCAACTAGGACATAAAAAGTGGCACCACCACCCTCTTCTCCATCTCTAGCATCCCCCAACCCACTCAGTTGCTTAACGACTGCTGGTATTCAGACTTCAGTGAGGGGCACCTGGGTGACTCAGTTGGTTAAACATGTGACTCTTGGTTTCAGCTCAGGTCATGATCTCTCGATTCATGGGATCGAGCCCCACATTGGGCTCTGTGCTGACAGTGTGGAGCCTTCTTGGGCTTTTCTCTCTCCCTCTCTCTCTGTCCTTCCCCCGCCCTCTCCCTCTCTCTCTCTCTCAAAATGAATAAAGTTTTAAAAATAAATAAATGAACTTCAGTGATAGTCTCAACTCAGGTTTTTCTTTCCAATCCCTATAGCCTTTACCTTCGTTCAAAGCCTTGCCATTTTCCCACAGGAATTCAATCACTACTACGTTACTCTGTCTCCAGGTTGACCTGCCTCCAGTCTGTCTTGCCCTAGTCCTTGGGGAAAATCTGACCATTCTTCTCTCCAGCATGAAACAGGTCTCAGACTCCTCCTCAGCCTATTTGAATGATGTCCACTAAAGTTATATTTTCAAACCAATCTCTAGTGATTGCACAAATGTTCACAATAAGGCCTTACTGTGATTTCCATAAGTACAGAGACAATGCCTATCTTATTCATAGTTGAATCCCAAACAACCAGCACAGTGCCTGTGCTCCACTCCCTAAGTATTTATTTTGTGTTTTTCACAAATAAATAAAATGGGAAAATTATGATATAAAACTAAGCAGAATGCAATCCTAATAATGTAAAATATATGTATACATTTATATGTAAAATATATAAATATTATACAAATATATATTATAAAATATAATTTATAAATATAAAATATATAAAATGTTTCATATATTTTTATACTTATATTTTTAACATATATGTAAATTTACAATATGTTATGTTAATTTATGTATTTTTTCACTTTCAAAATTTACCATAAAAGCTTTTTTTTTTCTCTCTCTGATACTGAGATACAAAAATATAAGCAAAAACAAAAGGGAGTAAAGCAAAAACCATGCATCTGACAGATGAGATGGCAGCATGGGGCATTATGGGAACAATAATATCCTTATCACACCACATTGGGTTCTTCATCTTCCAGCCCTGACTCTGCCCCACTCCCTGCTACTCCTCCACCACCTGAAGAGTGAGCAGTGCCAAACCACATGATGTTCTTCACAGTGATACTTGCTAACTACTTTCTCACTCCACTATTCCAGTATTCCCAATGTGGTAGTTCTGCGTTCCTGCCATCTTTTCATTTCTAGGGCAAAGCACCATGCCTGGCATACAGAAGAACATATTAAATATTGATGGAATAAATTAATTAATACATGGATAAGGCAGTGACACTGAATGCAAGGCCCATTTCTTTCATTTACTCTAAAATCATACTTACCTAACAGGGTTGTTATTGAGGACTAAATGAGAAAATGCACATAAAACATGCCTGACATATAATAAGCACTCACTAAACAAAGTTATTAACTATTATTACTGTGACCATGTACAAGTTGCTTTTTGCTCTCTTAGCCAAAATCATCTTTTTAAAAAAATTTTTAAGGTTTATTTATTTTTGAGGGAGACAGAATGAGAGCGGGGAGTGAGGGAGGGGCAGAGAGAGAGGGAGACACAGAATCTGAAGCAGGCTCCAGGTTCTGAGCTGTCAGCACAGAGCCCGATACGGGGCTCGAACTCACAGACTGCAAGATCATGACCTGAACTGAAGTCGGACACTTAACCAACTGAGCCACCCAGGTGCCCCTGCCAAAATCATCTTAAATTGTGGATAGTAATTTCTGCCCTGCCAACTCATCCTCTTGAGATGAGAAAGAGCTTAAAACAATCTGGGAAATACAAATCACTAAACAAACACATATTATCATCATTATGATGATGATAATGATTATATGATTATTGTCTTTGTGAATCTTGCCTAATAGGTTTCTCCTTTAAGGTCACATTACCTTGGCTGATGTTTCAAACCATCCTACGAAACCATGCTCCTTGCAGAACTGGTCCATCTTGAGGCCATTGTTCGTGAGCACATCCTTCCCCTGGTCACATTTGTTGGCCAACAAAACCACTGAAACTGGTTTGCCATTAGGAAGACTTAACTTTGAGTCCAAATCATTTTTCCACTTTGTCACTGCTTCAAATGTAGCTGGCCTGGTGACATCGAAGACAATAAATGCGCCCATAGCTTCTCTGTAATAGACCCTTGTCATATTTCCAAATCTTTCTTGACCTATCACCAAAAAGAAAGAGAAATCAAAAACTCATTACAATTGTAAACTGAATCATATACTGGAACCTCTCAAGGTGTCCAGTGCGAGCAGATCCCTCACTAAAGTGCTTCAGTACTTATCTTTAAAGAGTGAGCTAAGTACACAATCAGTATGATGTAGGTAGTGAAACCAGAGTTCCAGAGCAGAATTTATGACCAAAATTGACTGGGATTTCAGCTAATTAACAAAATGGAATGAATCTTATTGGTTGTAACTCTATCCACTAGCAGTAGCTGAAGACAGGAGCTAATGAATGGTGGGTTTATATTTTTTGAACCCCAAACTCCAGAAGTGTATGGCCAAAGGCCTTTTATTCTGATTTGGTAATTTATTCATGTGAAGAGTCTTATAAAGTTATACAAATTAAAATAAAGCGAGTTGTGTTTAATAAGCCAACTTCTCTCAAAAAGAATAAAACGCCGGAACTGGCCTATATCTAAGGACAAATAGGTCAACAATTTTAAAAACACTTTACATTTAACTCTGAGTACAAGATGTTGTGATGGTGAGTTTTAATTCAAGTTAAAAAACTCTTTTTTAGGTTGTGATATTCACATGGGCATTAGCATTGCAGATTTGAAGAGGAAATGATCCATAGCACTAGTGAAAATGGATGCAGGTCAAGGGTTCCACCCTAATGGTCCTATAGTGTGTGAGTCTGTGTGCTCATGCATGTATCACTGGAAAGAAGAGCATTCGGTAGGGGCCAGCACATGATGATCCTAAAACATTCCTTACATGGGTTTCACCACAGAAGCTTTGTTTTCTTCCCCATAGTTGTCTAGTCAATGAAAGAAAGTGGTATAATACTCTTCATATGACACACAACCCACAGATGAACTTTCATTTCTCCCAAATGAGTTTTAAATTTCTTTTATTTTCTTTCTTTTTTTAGTTCCTAATGCAAACAGTGATCTCCTTTGATACTGCTCAGGGTGGCCATGACATTTCAGGAAGAGAGGGGAAAAAAAGGCTTCTGTGATCATTTGGGACTCTGAAGGCCTCTAGGCTTTGCACAGTTGTCTTATGATCCCTTTCAGGGAACTAATCAGATGAAAAGCAAAGTCATGGGTTATTCAATAATCTGCTTGTCCAGAGATTTTCATAGTAGAGTAAGGAGGTCCTGAAGAAGAAAGATTTTTACATTTAAAATATATGGCAAAGGGTCATTTTTAAGACTAATGCAAAAAAACAATGTATAGGCTTAACACCTTATAGGAATTCAAAAAGGAAAATCTGTATGTATGTGTGTATGTGTTTGAGTTCATGAGGGTATGTGTGCCAGATCAGAAACAAAGAGAAAAAAGTGATCTTTGTACACTGAGGTCACTGGGCTGGTGGACTTGAAAAGTTCATATTTCCGGTGATCTGATAAGAGGTCACATTCAGAAAAGGGCATATCTAGCACTCACATTTTATCCTTCCTTTGTCAGCTGATAGCTCTCTCTCTGCTGTTTTTTATTAAAAGAATGAGAACCATGTGACTTTTCATGAATCCCTACGAATGGCCAATGTAGAGACCTGAGCAGAGTATCATAGGTAACTTACTTAAAAAAACAAAAAAAAAAAACACCATAGTTCAAAAATTCCCTGTGGGGTTAGATCACTCATTGAACATACATTTACTGGATAGCTAATATGGTCCAGGCTCTGTACTTTGTGCTGGAAATACATAATTTTTTGCCCTTGAACTGCTAAACTAAGAAGTGTCATACTGGATGCTTGCACTAAAAATGATCCAATTCAGCAGGTAGGTTCTCTCTTCTCTTAGATTCTACACACACAACCACAGCCCTGTCGATGTGACTCATGATTCAATGTTCAGCTTCCAGGAAAGTTAAATGACAAAGCAATCAACTGAACCACAAAAGTTAATACGATGGCTGCAGTAATAATTTGGAAAACCTTGCTGCAGAAGACAGTAAATTAAATGGTCAGAAGACACCGGTCTTCATTTTAATCACTGGTTACCAGTGCAGCCTTAGACAAATGTATTCCTCTTTGTAAGACTACGTTTCCTCACCTGTGCTTATTATTGTATGTCAGGCATGTTTTACGTGCATGAATTTGTTTTGGCTGACCTCCTAGATCCCTCGCTGCTTTCCTGCTTTGAGAGTTAAAATATTCCTAGTAAATTAATGCTTGGCCCTCTGTCCCAACGGCCTTAAGTGGTCCATTTGGTGTCACAGACTCATCTAAAAATATACGCAAGCAATACAGTCATAATGTTTATTTAATGGATTTTCACTTGGTAATTAATACTCTATAGATGTTCTCAGTGCACATAATCAAGCTGTGAATCTTCTACACAGGCATAGAAACAAGAGGAGGAAGTGTGTTGGGTTTTCTGTTAAACTGGGCACATTCATTTACCACTCCACTACTAACCAACCAGCTCTGTGACCTCAGATTAGTCACCGTACCATTCTGAGCCTCAGCTTTCCTCATTGGTAAAATAGGGAAATGGGATTGGATACCGGAAACTAAATTCGTTATTGCCTCTGGCAACCCCTCTAATCAACCTCCTCAGATGCAGGCAACCAGCTCTCCACCTCCTACTCCCTCCGTGTTCCCTCCAGTTCTCAGCATCACTAGTAATATTGTGCCCCAGAGCGGTATCTTCAAGTCATCTGACTCTTTCGTCGCCTCTCTGTCCAAAGGGTCTCCAACATTCTACCAATGCTTCTGTTTCAGAAGCAGCCCCTGATCAGTCCTCTTCCCCATCAGCACTGCTACTGATCTTAAAATAAATATAAATATAAACATAGGTCTTCAGACATTCTGGCAGCATAAGGGATCACCAGACGGGCATACACAGGGAGGAAATGAAGTCATTATCTTAAAGAGCTATCTGCACCCCCCTGTTCATTGCAGCATTGTCCACAAGGAATGAGACATGGCAACCTCTTAAGTGTCTATCAGTGAATGAATGAATTAATTAATGCATGAATGAATGAAGAAAACGTGGTACATGCACACAGTGAAATATTATTCAGCCACAAAAAAGAAGGAAATTCTTCCTTTTGCAACAACATGGCAAATGCTATGAGAACATTATGGTAAGTGAAATAAGTCAGACAGAGGAAAAAAATACTATATCATCTCATTTATATGTGGAATCCAAAAAAGTCAAACTTGTAGAAACAGAGTAGAAAGGTGGTTGCCGAAGTCTGAGAGTGCAAGAAACGGGGAGATGTTGGCCAAAGGATATAGACCTCCAGTTATAAGATAAATAAGTGGTGGGATCTAATATATAGTATGATGATTATAATTAACAATACTGTATTATGTGTATACAGTTGCTAAAAGAGTAGTTCTTACATGTTCCCACCACAGACAAAAAAAAAAAAAAAAGGGAATTATGTAAGGTGATGGAGGTGTTCATCCTATCGTAGTAATCATTTTGAAATATATAAATATATCAAGCCATCATGCTGTACAGCTTAAATTTACACGTTATATGCCAATTATATTTCAATAAAGCAGGAAAGAAAATGCATCTTAGATATTTATAGAACACCCATTCCTGGGCCATGTTCTTCAGAGATTCTTACATGGTAGTTTTATATGGGGCCCAGGAATCTGTCTTTTTAAGCAGTCCCTAGGTGAAATCTTAAAACCATTTCTGTATTAATCCACTTTCAAACTGTAAACATTACCATTATGCTCTATTGCTTTAGCCCTTCAGTGCCTCTTACATGCTTAAAAACAGACACCTTTATTAAAACTGCAGACAAGGAGACTTTGGCTCCAACCACCTTTCCAAACTCTCCTCCTGTCACTTTCTTCAAGTGCTCCATGGCGAAGCCACACTAGAGTACTTACTCTTTCTAAAACACATCCTCCATTACTCCCTGGATTTTTCTTTCCTTTTTATATCTCTATTCCCAAAACCTGAATTCCTTCCCCATCTTTCTTCCTCTCACTCTGTCCAATGAAATCCTGTACACCCTATAATTGCTCCCTGAAATGCCATTACAGTTCTGCAACCTTCCCTGGCCTCCCAACTTTTTCATGACCCTGTAGCATTTTCTTTACCTGACATCATTTACATTTATTATGCTATATATTCATGCTTCAGTCTCCACTACAGCACTGTAAAATCTTGAAGAGCAAGCTGATCATATTTTGATCTTATAAATCTGAGGCCTATTTTCCACCTATTTGATATAGTAAAAACTCAAGATGCTCTTGCAGAAATAAGCTAAAATTAAAGTTCTTTCTTCCTCTAAAATACAACATCATCGTATATTCATGAACGAGTGCTGTGTACTAACACACTTGCTCTATATTATACTCTCATTTCCACTAAATAATCGAAAGATGTTCATTGATGGAGAAAATTAACATTATTCTAACAGGGCTAGGTGCATATCTGTTGCAACAAGTTTTAGACTGGAATGTTATGCTTTTGTAATCATTTTCATATTCTTAAGAAATTTGGAATCAATTTACTCTATTCAAAATAGCATATGTTTTTGGTCATGGCACAATCCATAGAGCTAAAATTTCCTCCAAGATACAGATATGCTCTTTATTTCTAGGGAATAATAGAATGAAAAGCAGGAAGATAAAAATGAGAGTAAATATGGACCTTGCACAAGGATCTAGAGGAAAAAAAATCTATCTAATTACTGAATTTACAATAGCTTAAGCTGGTTTTGAAGAGTGAGTCAAGGAAATCTAGACTAGGATCAGAGTCTGGCTGACATCCTCGTGAGTAGGTTTTGTCCACTTTTTAAGGGCCCATCTGACCTTCTGTCCAACATTTTGAAACCATCTCATCTTCTCTCTTCCCTACTTTGCCCCACCAAGTCAGTGACAGAAATGTCTCAATCAATCACTTTTTTTCCAAGTCACCTAGGCTGATATACTGGCATTAACCATGTGTAATCTTCCCTCACAAAATTGTAAGTTCCCCCTAGCCAGAACCAGGTTTAAGCACCCCCATGACAAGTGT